TGAGCACCGTGTTAATTAACTCGACTTCTCGCCCCCTTCGAATTAAACATCATGGACGGGGGTGGGCGCGATGAGCGACGTCGATCTCGGGCTGCAGCCATCGAACGATTAAACTTCAAGTCGTAGGAATCAACCCCTCATTCGTTGCCTCTGCACCCAGTCCAACCTGTTTTGTCTCCTTCCCGTTGCTGAATTTATCAGCGTTAATCACCCCCTGGAATTTCGCTGCGGGTTCCTGGCGAGCTTCTGACGGATTGCTCGAATAACTCATTCCGCCTGTCAAGATGGAGATCATCGCTCGATTACAACACGATGGCACGAGGATTGTGCAAAAATATGCAGAGGAACAGAGATTCGGGATCTTTGGTTAACGTTGCGACCAAAAATTACGAGTAGTACAGGTACCAGTATAGATATACTCAAACGAGGGTAGTTTTCAGGGGTGTCAAAACTACTCGATAGAAACCTATCGATTAGGATATCCATGGAAAATCCTAATTATTTTAACTCTTTTTATTGAAATTAAAAAATAGTCAGAGCATCTAGGCTAGGTCCAGTTTCAGATCCTCAACCCCTCACGAGATATTATAGACGAAGGGGTCTGATGTTTTAAGGCTAAACGTCACAAAGGCCTAAAACCATCATAGACACTTGAATCACGAAACTGACACGTCTCTAAACCTTCGAGATTCGTAAACCACGCGAGATTGCACCCTCTGCTCCTCCACGGAGTCGTGCTTCAGGAAGAAGTGACCATCTCTGCAAGACAAAAATCAGCAGAGACCGATCCTCGAGTATCTGCTCGTCAAACAAATCGCTGGCAGGATTTCCTCAGAGACTCGTAACGCTGCGTCCTCTCAAAGGATCGAAAACGAGGGGCGTAGACGGGGTGGTTCGAAAGGACTAGGAAAGAAGTTGGAATCTTTCGCTGGCCCGGTGGGGTGGGCAGAGTTTGACTTGCAGAGTGCTAATATTAAAGTTCCGCGTCGCGAAGGGCTTCCATCCAGGCCTGAGTCCGTAGGTCCACGAGACGCGAAGGGTAGAAACGTTCCTGCCCGTGCATCGGCCCAGCCTCCACCCCTCCCCTCGATTAGATTAGAATTTGTTAGGGGTGTCGGCCGGTAACTTCGTCAGAAGAACGCTGTCAGTTTTGTTTCATCGCTGCCGGGCAAGCCAGCTTTTCGGCGAAAGTTCCTCGCGAGAAATTTCGCTTCGAGACATCGGCGAGAACTTTACGGCTGAATACCGACTTATGAGGAACGACAAGCTCTACAGGGATGAAGCTGAATGAGCCCTGGCATCGGCCTTAATACGTCTACCAAGCTTCTTTCCCTCCTTCTTCCTTCTCTCCTTTTTACATCTTTCTTTTTTTTGGTTCTATCTTTCTCTTTTACGGTCAGGAATACGATATTTCATGAGTATGTAGTTGTTTCGGTGGATTTAGGACGAGTTTCATATTTGTTCCTGGACTTTCGCTGGGTTTGAGACTTTAAGCTAGATTAGGTTAGGTGAAATAGAGAGAGAAGTTTGGTTACGAGGGAGATTCGTGAAAACAATATTTTTCGAACGATATGACACGCGTAGTGTGAAGAAAATTGTAATACTATATCTGTGAGATTGAAAAACGTTTACGGTAAGCGGTTGTCGGAGATACGGGCCGTGGTGGCGCTAGTGAGTTAAGGAATACGATATTTCATGAGTATGTAGTTGTTTCGGTGGATTTAGGACGAGTTTCATATTTGTTCCTGGGCTTTCACTGGGTTTGAGATTTTAAGCTAGGTTAGGTTAGATAAAATGGGGTGAGAAGTTTGGTTACGAGGGAAATTCGCGAGAACAATATTTTTCGAACGATATGACACGTGTAGTGTGAAGAAAATTGTAATACTACATCTGTGAGATTGATAAACGTTTACGGTAAGCGGTTGTCGGAGATACGGGCCGTGGTGGCGCTAGTGAGTTAAGCGCACGACTGCCGAACCGTCAACTCGTGGCCGAGTTACGCTGTGGACTGTCGTGGAAATTGGAGGGTTGGTATATCGATTGAATTCCGATGATTATTCAGTAAGGAGTAATTAATTATGGGAAATTCAAATTGACGTTTAATATTTCTCGCTGTTAACTGCGAAGAGAAAAATTTTGCGAGTAAGGTTGAAGAATGGCGAGTGGAAGAGCAGGTATCACGAGAATCAACATCAAGGTTTCCATGCACGGAGCAACGTCGTATATACCGCTCGATTCAATTCTCTCCACGGAGAATTGAATTCGCGTAACGTCTCGCAGCTGCTCAGGGCCGAAAACAAGGGTGAGAAGAAACTCCAACAGCCACGAATTGGAAGAGGCTCTTAGTGCTAGCTCGGTTCTTCCGGCGTTTCAGCCGTTGGCGACACATCCGTGGAAACAGATTAGAACTTGTTGATGGTGTCGCGTCTGAACTTCGCTGTGGAAAACGTGCTAGGCCTGCTCTAATTGCCACTGTACACGGAAGCGTCATACAGGGGCTATTAACACGAAGGAGTGCAGTTGAAGAGATAGTGGAAACGAAAGGGGTTTAATTGCAATTTGTGTTGATGAAACTTTTTACACATTCCTCATTTCTCTTTTCCTTCTTCTTTTTTGGGGGAAGCATTAAAAACATTTTACGACAAGCTTGCTATAAATTATTTAATTTCGAGGTATTATAATTACAATATACTAACGTAATATTTATTACAGTGAAAATTAAAGACGTTAATTTATACTATTGCAAAATGGACGAGTGGAATAGCGATATACAAAATTATAAAAATTATTTAAGTATTTGTGAATCGTGATCCTCTGAAGGTCAAATTTCCAGATTTTGCGTGATGCATATAAACAGTGGATCAAAATAAAGAATGTTGAAACGGATTTCAAAATATTGGCGATATTGATAAAAGAAGAAAGCTTGCTTATCAACTATATTTAATTTTCTGCATTAAAAATTCCCTAAAAGAATTTTTATTATATTATATTTGATATATATTCAATATTTTTCAAATTTAGTATAATATAATACAGAATATGATACAGGTATTAAAATCGAAATTAAATTAGTATATTTTCGACAATTTACTATTGCACGTATTTTTAGCTACTATAAATTTAGCTTCCACGTGTAGGAAATTCTATATATAGTTGTTACCTCATAGTGATTCACAGTTGACGCCATCCTATTTCTCTCTGCATTTTCTATCTTCATTCCTTTATTTCTTGAAACCTTTCGCGGAAAATCGTAATATTCGATATTCCTTGATTCGAGCTGATAATATCAAGCAAAGTGGATATTTCTGTAAGTGAATTAGCGTGGTAGGAATAAATATCGACGAAATTCCGACGGTGGGGCAAATTGGCAAGCCGATACGAACGGAAACTCGCGTTTTATAAAATGGCATTTTCGTGTATAGTTTCGTACGTCATAAAGGCACTTCATTAGACGGCAATTCGCTAACTTTGCGCGCTATGTGTTTCAGAAGCAGATGCTTTATGAGTTTACGACTTGTCAGACCGTTCCTAAAGAGCACGCGGAATTTCCGTGCATGTAGTCGCAAACTTAGCAATGAAATTGCCACTGGGAAACATAGTTAAACAAACTTCATTCATGCCGGGCAAATCGGATAATCTTGTCAGTGTCACGGGTGTCCAAAATTCCTGAATTCTCCGCGAATTGTAAATATTTTACGCTTTAACATAAATATTCAACATCTTCATAAATTTTAATAATATTTCTATCATTTTTCAGAGATTTGGAATTTTATAAAATTTTGCAGTCCTTAAAAATATTTTAAAACGAGCCTAGAATATTTTCATAAATTTAGTCCAGATCAAAATATTTTTAAGGAATAATGTTTTAAGCAATTCGTTAAAATATATTCAGTAGTCAGAAATTATTAAATTACTAAAATTTGGAGAATTAAAATTGCAATTTAATTATTTTTCATTTTTAATTAGCAGAATATTTATGAACAATTTGTAAAATATTTTGTGGCTAAAAAAAGAAGAAAGAAAGGAGGGAAAAAGATGGTGAAAGTTGGGATTTTGGTGTTTTCTTCTTTCCAAGAAGAATCACTCTGCCTGGGGGAATCAATTTCCTCTCACGTTCCCGGCAAGTAGACGTCAAAGGGGAATTTCGATGAGTCGAATTGACGGTTTTACGATCCCCCGTTAAAGCTTCCTATATTTCGCTCGTCTCCGAGATCACGAAAAGCTTTTCTTCGTCACCGTAGGAACATGCTCGAAATCGTGACACGTTTACTCGTGATCTTAATTCGAATACTCAGACGAAAGAACGAGGATACAAATTTCGTCAAATATTCCAATCCATAATTCCAATCTTTTCAAAACGAATTAAAACAAACTTCAATCCCATATTAACATCATTAACATTTCTCGACTATTCTTTCTTCATAAAAATAAAATACTTGTTCCAAATTTAATTTCCTATTCAATTTTATTTATTCCAAGTTTGATCTCAAATTAAGTCCTGTCTTAAAAAAATCCGCTCAATTACGCGAATTTATTTTTAATTTCACAAATTTAATTAATTCCTATTTTATTAAAAAAATGGAAAGGATTGTTCAGTTTTTAAAAAATTTAAAAGGAGATTTACCATTCGTGGGAAATTTCTTTAAACACTTAAAAACGAATTTTGAAGAAATTCGCTTTGACTACAATTCCCCAAAATTAATTAATTCGTATTTAATTAAAAAATGAAAAATATTGTAAAATTTTTGAAGAATTTCTGACAAGACTTACCAATCGACGAATAATTTTTCTTAAACACTAGAACTACCAATCTAGTCAAAATGACTGATCCCAGAATTTTCCTTTTCGCAATTATTGGAAATTAAAAATATTCTTGCTTCTAAGAAAATTAATATTCGCTCGGATTGAGATGGTACTGCAATTACTATGCAATTACTATAATATTATGCTCTATTATCCAGTGTTAAACACGTAAAAAGAGTATTTATAATGGTACTCACCGTGCCTGGTCTTGGAGGAATCGACGCGAAGAGTTCCTTCGCTCTGGATCTGATCCTTTCCATTTGTTACACGACAAGTGTAGAACCCTACGTCAGAGACATCTAAGTTGATGATCTTCAGACGGCTTCCAGCGATATTCTTTGCTGCGTGCTCGTGCGCCTGAGGAGCAAAAACATTTTACGCTTTTTCCTCTGTTTTACCGCGACATCGTAAAAAGTATCGTGTTTAATATCCCATATATCTTTACAACATACACCTCTACGTCTCGGGAATATCATATCCCATAAATATCGCGTCGTACGTTTCACAAACGTTCTTTCCAAGAAGAACTTCTACTTTTCTATAACGCAACTTTTCTTGTAATATACAAAATATATTAAGAATATAGCACTCTAAAATCTAGCAGGTGATATGGTACTATAGCAATTTCGTATTTTTCCTAGTAACGAAAAAGTTTTAAAAATTATTAAGATTCTTATTTTGCTGCAACACGTTTTATAATTTTATAACGGAGCTCTTGAAAGTTCTAAAAGAGAAAGCTTTTAATCTAGAATTACGACAAATTGCGAAAAATCTTGATCATACTCAAAAATTTTGAAAATGTTATTTATAAATTGGGAGGAAAGTTAAAAAACCTTGAAATTCCTTTTTTCCTTGAAGCCTTGAAATTAGAATTTTGTGCGCCTAAATTCGGTTTTAGGGATTATTTATTCCAAATACTGAAGATTTCTCGAAATTTTCGATACTTTTTACCCACTCTCGAAATTTTTGACTAGGAACATTCGAGATTTCAAAATTATCCAATGCTCGCACACCTCTGGTTATAAGACACGAAATTAATGAAAAATAATAACAAAAAAAAGAAGGAAGAAAATTATTACCTGAGCATGTATCTTCTTGATAGTGATTTTCGGCCGTTTCTCTTCAAGGGGTGCTTCGTTCTTGAACCATTTGATCTTAGTTGGTGGAGGATCGCCGACAACTTCGCATCTCATGTGTGCCACGCCACCGGCGTCTTTCGAGATATTGGCCAGAGTGCGTATGAACTTCAGCGTGCCACTCTTGGCCCCGGATACAGCCTCCATCTCGGTCCTGTGGAGTGGAAGAAAAATAAATTTCCGTAAATGGAAATACCTTTCCAGTCGCAAATTTTTTTATCAAATCAATTCCATTTCACCTGCAATTCTTACAATATAAACTCCATCACGAATGCTGAGATAATTTATAATAGAAATGTTGGAAACTCGATGTTATTAGCATAATCACAATATTCGTGCAATTTTTTAAGTTTAAGAGAAGGGAGGGGGTGAAAAGAAGACAGGAAAAGATAATTTATAATAATGTTTTAAGATAATTTATAATAATGTTTTAAAATAATTTATAATAATTTATAATAACGTTTATAGGAGCATGTTCCAAGTTGAGCATGATCCAAGAGGATGACCAACAACAAAATGGCGTCTCAACGATAAAGAAAATTCTACAGGAAGCTTGAACGAATAGATTTAAACGATATTATTACTTCAAAGGCACAGATAAAATTCGTTTCTAATTTCCTCAGACGATTTTTAACGAATAAATTTTTCGTTCGTGAAATTTATTTCGCGAAAGCAGCTTTCGAGGAACTCCCGAAGTTTGAGAACTTTTAAAACAGGATTTTCGAAAAGTTTTTAAACGTGGGATAATAAAATTTCCATTTAGAAAAGTACGTAAAAATTTACGAGGATTTTGGGAAAAAGGTTTTGTCTACACCGATTTAATAACATCCTTCTACCCTGTTAATCCTGGAACCTATCATCCACGTGAAATATAAAAGCAGATCCAATATCGTTTCGCAAGAAATACTGCAGAATATTACAAATTTATTTTACGATACTTATTGCGTTAACGAAAATATAATAATCGAGCTGGCAGAGTAATGTTTATCGAAAATTCTTAATAACAGGCTGAAAAGTATACTCCAACAAATTGATGGCAGACGCTTTTCGAGCACCCGTTGGAGTGCTCTCGTTGAAATATACGAGCAACATGTTGTCGCGAGAAATTGACCAAAGAACGCTCAGTGAAATTTTTTATCGGTTTTCCGGTTTACATGCCCCGTTTAGCATGATTACAGACGCACAGCGGCACGCCGTATGAAAATTCAACGATTATTATGCCTTGTATTTGGATTTTTACAACGTGCAAGTCGCTGCCCCGGAAAAATCTTTCTCACCATGGTTGGGGAACCTGTTACGACCCTGGTTACACTTGCATATTATGGTTTGTGGGGTCGTTCGAAGGTATTTATGAAAATGCATAGCGAATCATGCCACTTTAAAATACTTTCAGTTTACCAAACATGGAAAATGATGTACAAGATACGAAAAATATATATATATATATTTGAAATATTTTTAACCAATCACACTTGTTTTGAGCATTTTAGAAAATATTCAAATTACAGAAAAATTTATTTTTTCGCCTATTTATATATATATATATAAATTATATTTTCGCCTATTATATATATATATAAATAAATAGGCGAAAAAATAAATTTTTCTGTAATTTGAATATTATCTAAAATGCTCAAGACAAATGTGATTGGTTAAAAATATTCCAAATTTATGAAAAGGAACGAGAAAAAGAAAATACGGGGTGTCCCAAGAAAACGTATACACACTTTAATACCTTATTCTTTCTAATTTACTTGTACCCTTAATCTGTAATCCATCTAAGTATATACTGTTTTTATAATCACGTAAAGTGTGTATACATCTTTTTGGGACACCCTGTGTATATATACAATACCAAATTCCAAGGTACAATTAATATTTATCCTGTCCAAAATTTTGGGAAATTTTTCGTAAATATTCGAAGATACTTCGAGTTTAAATATCGACGACTATAATATACGAAGCGAATATGCATTCTACGAAAGCAGGATTTTGCAAAATATTAAAATATTCCGAATTGAAAATTAAACGAGGTAGAAATATGTTAAATAGCCAAAATTAAATTCCACTGCATCTGGAATTTAAAAAAGCAATTTCCTTATCCCTAGGACATAATCTCATAATTTATATTCCATTATAAATTTTCAAAAGCCACGATGAAATATAGCTCTACCAGAGAAAAAAGGAAAAAAAGAAGGGAATGTACAATTTCTCTCTCCCTCTCTCTCTCTCTCTCTCTCACTCCTGGAACACGGTACTCCATTATATTGCACGCGTTCGAAATTCAATTGAGGGCCCATTGCCATAACGTGGACGGCAAATTTCTTGACGAGGCGGGGTAAATTTAATCCGGCTCCAATAACCGAAACGCGAAATACACTCGAAACCACCCACACTCTCGAATCCTGTTGCCACGTTAAATCATAGTTGCCTAACCGTACCAATGAAACCGAATTGATTCATTGTTCGACGCCGTGAAAGGGAGGAGAGAGAGAGGGAGGTACAGGGAGACCGGGGCGAAGGAGAGAGAAAGAACGAGGAGGAAGGAAAAGACAGAAAGGGAACCAGCTGGAGTAATAGACATGGAGCTAGTACGGAGCAGTTCGTGTCCCTGACGGATTTTTATGCAACCACGATCCCACGTCAGATGCCCTCTGGCGGCTAGTGTTTCCACCCACATGCAGATCGATCTCTCGAACCGCTTCGTGCAGCCTCGTGGCTAACAATGTAACTTTAAAACGAAGAGGATCATTAAAGGAGTCGAGTTTTAGGCCTGCGAGTCGCTAAGCCTGAAAGTTTCGCCTGATTGACGCAGAAATTTCGATTATGCCAATGATGGCGGACGTAGAGGGAGTCACGTTACTTTCTTTGTTCGAAGGCTGCAGGAATTTTAGTCTGGGTTGCGTATCATGATGTCTCGAATTTTGTTTAACAGTGGATGTAGCAAACTGGTTAAAATAATTAAATTATTTACGTGCGTAAGAATTTATATACACCAATTATTTAATTTTATTTATTTATTTATACGCATGTTATGGGATTTATTTATTTATTTATTTATACGTATTCTATGGAATTTAATTATTTATTTATTTACATGTACTTTATGGAATTTATATATTTATTTATACGTATTTTATGGAATTTATTTATTTATTTATTTATTTATAAGTATTATATGTATTTTATGTATTTTATGGAATTTATTTGTTGAACTTTATTACTATATTTATATATAATTAAAATAATTGAAAATTAAATAGTTTCTGCAGAGGCACGTTTTAATTTTGATTTGTAATTTAAAAAATAATTTAACTGGAATTTGATAAATATAATTTCAAAGGGAAATTCATTGGTAGTGGAAAATATTGTTTAGTATTAATGGGAGTTCTAATTGTAACAGGCGAGCAATGTAAAATGTAAAAGAAAGAATGTGTCGATGTTTCGAATAATTAAATTTTGAAAGATAGACATGTGCAGTGTTTTCCAGACCATTACAACGAATATTCATCCCGAAAAATCATTAATATGAAATTTTATTTCAATATTGGGCCATTTTTTCTTTGTGGACGGGATATGATTATTCTATCGAAATCATATTTCTACCATGGAATAAACGTATGTAGCCTCTGTTCAATATCAGTAAAAATCGTTTTATATCTTTTTGATATTATAATAAATGACCGGTATATTATTCTGCAAAATTGTGGAAAAATTCAGGAACCGTGAAAAACGTCGAATTTTATTTTGCAGCGTTAAATTCTCGCGAGATCTTCAAAGTTTCCTAAATTAATCACATCCTATAAGAGTCGCTAATTTTATAATTTACGGGACTTTGCAGGATCCTGAATTAGTTCCAGGAACATGATGAAGTCAATTCAAACTTTTTGGTCCATGTCCTGAATTTTACATAGGCCCTTCACAAGTTACTGTGTACAATATTCAAGACAGTACAGAGTACGGATACGTCAATCATATTAAATTTATTTTCATGTGTAAAAGTGCAAGTAATTTACTCAAAATAAACCTACAAATTGAGAATCCAAAACGAGAAAAGTTACATAGATAAAAAAATAAGAAAACAAGAATATAAAGAAAAATATAAAGAAATGAAACTTTAATTTTGGATCACAAAAGTGTATCAACAACCTTCTCGTATTTTTCTAAAATTAGGGAATCTATGATCGAAGAAGGGGACGAAAAAATGGCCCAAGGGGATCGCTAGCAAGACCAAAAATTAAAAAAGGCCTAAAATGATAAGTTATACAGACAAAGAAATAAGAAGAGAAGAATATAAAGAGACAGAATTTTATCACAAAAGTGTATCAGCAATTTCCTCGTATTTTCTCAAAATTAAGATATCTATGACCATAAAAGGGGACGAAAAAATGGTTCAAGAGGGTCACTAGCAACGCCAAAAATTAAAAAAATACCTAAAATGATAAGCTACACAGGCAAAGCAATAAGAAAAGAAGGAAACAAAGGAACGGAAATTTACCATAAAATATATCAAAAACCTTCACGCATTTCCCCAAAATTAGGAAATCTTTAATCGAAAGAGGGGACGGAAAAATGGCCCCAGATGATCATTAACAAAACCAAAAATTAAAAAAGGTCTAAAATGATAAGCTGCACAAGCAAAGAAATAAGAAAAGAAGAAAACAAAGGAACAGAAATTCACCCCAAGGTATATCAACAACCTTCTCTCATTTTCTCAAAATTAGGGAATCTATGATCGAAAAAGGGGACGGAAAAATGGCCCAAGGGGGTGACTAGCGAGGCCAAAAACGCAAGGAAAGTAGGATACAAAGAAGCAAAATTGCCCCGCGAAAGTGGATCAGCAACTTCCTCGTATTTTCTCAAAATTAAAGAATCTATGAGCGGAAATGGGGATGGAAAAATGGCCCAAGAGGGTGCCTAGGAAGGTTAACGGTTGCACGTGCGGCCGAGCGAAGACCAGGCGGGAAAAGGCGGTGAAATCTTGGTCAGTCCATTTGCAGAAACACTCCGGTAAATAGCGAGACCCTGGCGATCGTACATCACCGGCGCGATAAGGGGAAGTTCAGGCTTGGCTATGCATTATTTCGCGGCGCGCCGCGACGCAAGAGGGCGAGAAGAATAGGGTGCCGGTCCATTAACATATTCATACTTAAT